TATATATATTTATATTGCAAATTAGACAAAATTTTATTGCTTTTGCTACCGTTTGGCAGACCGAAAAGCGCGTGAATCGTATTTAAGTTAAAGTATTTAAATTTACAGCCACCATTTGTTACACTTAAAAACTGACTAAATTCGTTACACACACACACGAACACAGTGATTGCAAACACGTGTGGGCGCCAAAGCCGGTAAATAATAAAACCAAAAGCCAAAGCAAAAAGTAAAAGAAGCGAATTTATTCGTTGTAGTTGCCTGCATAAATTAAAAAGACTTTGTCATTCAATCGCAGTTAGAGAAGCGGACGCGTCAGCGCTGGCGACGCCGACTGCGACTGCGACCGCGACGCTGACAGCAGCAGCGGCAGCGACAGCGAAAACGACAACGAAATGGCGATAATTTCGTTGCCACGAGCTGCTCACAGACAGCCAGACTCTGAGAGAGTGTGCGTGTGAGTGTGTGAATAAGAGAGAGAGAGAGAGACAGAGGAAATGGGAGCGGGCAACGAGGGGATCGGCTGCGGCTACACAAGCGAGCGAGTCAAAATAAAAAATAAATTAACCCAGCTGAAACATTTTGGCAAACGAACCCAAAGACATGACTTGGACATGCCGAATTCAGCCGACGATGCATGCTCTTCTGGCTCGAAGAGCAGCCGAGGAGACAGACAAGCACTCGCGCTGGGCATGTTCGCTTATGTCTGTAGATTTATTTCCCAAAGTTCCGCTGGGTGCACGAAAATGCTTTCACATGGTGTTAATGAATTTCTGTGCTGCTGTCTCTGGTGCTCGTGTGCGTTTGCATGTACGCGTGCGTGTGAGTGTGTGCGTGTGCGTTTGTGATTTGTATGTGATTTTCTCTTGTTGTTTTTATTGATTTTACGGCGCACGTGTTGCGGCTGATGTAGTCGAACGAAGCAACGACCAATGCTCCGCACTTCCTCTCCCCCATCCCCTCTCGCTTACTCTACAAGCAACGCACAATATGGAGCAGCATTTGTTGTTACTATTTTCGACAACAGTTTGTTTATATTTTCAAAGGTTTTTTGTTTTGTTTTTTGGTTTTGGTTTTTTGTATTGTTTATGCGAGTGCTGCTCTTTGGATAATCTTGAAGTTTTAATGCGAAACGCGTTCGAGCCTTAATTATAAATCTATTATTATGGCCACCACGGGGTGTCATGTTTGGGGCGCCAATAGCCAAGCCAATCGCTGTGCGAATTTATTTGGAAAACGCGTTGAGCTTACTCACTTTAAAGGATTGTGTGCACAATAAAATAATATCCGGCTGCTCAATCATTAAAATAGCATTGAAATTCAGCTGGTACTTGTTCAAGGATGCACAAGGTACAAGTCGGTCTATAAGGCACTGAATTGACCCGAACCGGTTTAATGTTCGTAGAACGTGTGAAATCTGATCGAATCGATGGTAGTTAAATAAACCATATATCAATATAATATGGAAATCTATATATAATAACTCTGTTCGACTAATTCAATTGCTGCTATTAGCGGCAAATTAGTTGGTCTAAGCCGGCTTCAGGTGGCCGCAAGTGCAGCGCTTAAGCGTCTCAGCTCACACGGCCAAGTGAGAGCATTAATTCACGTCAGTAAATAAACAGCTGTCACTCAACGGCAGATTGAATATGTTGTCAAAGTCACAGCTTGATTCGCTTTTCTGCTGAGCACTTGAAAAGCAAAGCAGCAGACACAAAAACAAAAATACAAAAATTGAATACAAAACCTCGCTTACGACATTCGCACGTATTTGTTGTTGTTTTCTTGACTAATTCGTTTTTTGTCTTTTTTTTTTTTTTTTTTTTTTTTTTTTTTGCTTATTTTGTTTACATTTTTTTAGGCAATCTGAAGGCTTCAATGTGAGAAGCGCTTCACACGCTCCGCTTTACGAGCGGCAATTTCCATTGAGTAGCCGAAGATTGGCTCTGGCCAATGGGGCAAACGAGGCAGCAAGAAGGCATCAGCGGGCCATTGACACGCTTGAGGTTCCAGGAATTGTGCAAATAAATAAAGAGTGTTGTTTCGATATGCTTCGACACAAATTGATTCTAAAGACTCTGTTCAATTGTAAGCTGATAAGGGAATAACGAGAAGTACGGAGACTTTAATTAACAAACGATCGAATATCAAATGAATTGTAAAGGAATTGTATTATTTGATTAGAAAATTAAATAGAATTCTTTATATATTTTATTTACTACGCCATTTATAATTTTAAAATTATGCAAATTGTATTCTTGGACCGCGTGGTCTGGGAGAAATCAATAATGCGCATACGCCATGTATGCCAGTTGGCCAACTGCAGTCGCAGTCGCAGCGCGCAGCGTGCAGCGCGAGCAAAGGCCAAAGGGCAGCGGCAATACGACAGCAGTCAAGAAGCAAACACAGAGATGCGAACACACACACGCACACAGCGAGACAGGCATGCACACAGGATATTCGTCCTTGAGAAGGTGAATGCTGATTGTAAGCGATGCTGCAAGGCGGAAGGCATTAATGAAGAGGAGGGACGCAGCAGCGCATGTAGGCGCAAACACACACACACACTCGAACGCAGGGCGACAAAAATAACAACAGCAAGAGCGGGATGGGCACATTTACAGAGCGAGAGCCAGCGAGCTGAAAGCTCTCTGCAATGGGTAACGTTGATGGTGACATGCAATTTGTACAGGCGACACGTGTGGCTGTTGGACATTTATTTATCTCTCTGTTTCTTTGCCTTTCCATCTCTCCGCTCTTTTTGGGGCGGGGTGGGTGGTGTTCGGCGGGCGACTAAGACTGCTAGATTTATGAGCCAATTTATTTGTGTGCGCTACTCACCCGTTGGCTTGTTTCAGAAGCGTTTAGCAGTAAGTGATGCAGGAATGTATGCGTTTGCCGTTGCTCTCGCTTAACAGCTGTTTGGCGACCGCACACTAATACACACGCACAGGCACGCACTAGCTCACGGATGTGCACACGCACAGCATAAACACGTTTTATTTAATTTATTGCACGCTCATTGAAACTAATGAGCATTCTTGTTGTTTTCACACGCTTCTAATCTATGCCCTTCTAGGTAGTCTCACCGCCAACAATAATGACAAATGCGACGCAGGCTGCGACGCTCGCTGCGACTGCGACTACGACGTGTATGCAATTATTGGAGATAGCCGACGCCAACGACGCGTCTGTTGGCAACACGCGCGCAAACAAAACTTTCGCTTTCGTTACGCGTTAGACACGAGCACCCAAGCACACCAATACATTGGCACACTCACACACGCGCGCACACAATTTGAACAGCTTGCACATATACACGTACAAGTACGTAAATGCTGAGTGCTTTGGAACTGTTCAATTGGACTGAAAAGCTCTTCTCTTCTAGCGAGGCGCATGGAACAGCAGCGCAAAGCGGAATGAAGCCGCGCTGCCAGCTGCGCGTCGTTTAAATACGTGCACACAGCCGCACACCCGACACACACGTCGAAAGTATTTTCAGCGAACGAAACCTACAAGGGAATCTGACTGAATAATAATAAGAATAATTCAGGTAAAATACGAGTTAATTTAGGGACATTAAAAATCGTATGCAAATAATTAAATATTTCTCTTTCTCAGAGTATGAAATTATAAAATAGGCACAAACAACCATTTTAAATCGACATAAATAATCCATATTTTCATCCATTTTGAAGCATAGGCTTAGTGCATGAAATAGTCTAGCATCTTGTCTAGCGAACCGTTACTTGCATGTTACATTTTAAGTACCTTTTAAATGCCATATTAAGCGTACCGCCTTATCAAAATTTTCTGATAGCAACAAATGAACGGCGTGTGCACATCAGCATCATGAAAATAAACCAAGCAATCAGTCGCGGATGAGTTATATTTAAAGTATTTATTCTATTCTGGTCGCGTTCAACTGAAAATGGCCCACGCATTTAGTTTTTGCTGCCTGACAAAATCGGCGAATGTTGCCAGCAACAAATGTTGACGCAACAGATGCTGCAGCAACAGAGTGTGTTGAGCGCCATGTGCCTGAGTTAACTCTCATTTCCCACTCGTTCTCGCTGCCTCTTTTGTTCACTCACTCACTCTCTCTCTGCCTCACTCATTCACACACTCACACACATACATACCCGCCCTTTTAGTCAATTTTGTCGCACGTGTCGGAAATTTTGTTACGGCCGATTGCTTTTCTCTATGGTTTGTATGTGTGCGAACGTGTTTGTGTGTGTGTGTGTGTGCGGCTCGCTGTGTTTGTGGGTGTGAATATTTTGTTAGATTCTCTCGCTTGATGTGCGTTGCGCGTGCTAATGAAAAGGTAATTCAATGCCCTATGCCATAGGCAGGTGACGCTTGCCCAACTAACGGTAAACACAGACAGCGCGTCTGATTTCCGGTTTTTCGATTCTTTGCCTTATCGGCAAGCGCTGCAAATCTAAAACAAAAGCAAACACAGAGTCATAAACGAACACACACACACACAAATACGATTGGCGCAAGAAGCGTAGCAAAAACAATAAAGAAGAAATTAGCATAACACATGAGCTGCCTCTCGACAGCAGTCAGCTGTCACCTCTCTGCCCCTCTCTCTCATGCTCCCTCTCTTTCTCGGTCTGCCTTACACTCCCACCAACTGCAAATGGTTATGTATGGCTTTAATGGGTTTGTGGGTGTTTTTTTTTTTTTTTTCATGCTTGGCGGCAGACATTTTTCAGTTTCAATTGCCAACACGTGCGGGCGCGAGGCGTCCGAAACAAAAGAGCGAGCAAGTGGAGCAAGGAAAGTGGATAGTAGAGAGAAGAAGACGGAGTATGGAGTGGCGCGGGGGCTGGCTGTCTGGCCCATTTCACTCCCTGAAAATGGCGTCAGAGCAGCTGTAAAAAGTTTTGTGCGCTAGCGAAACGGAAAATTAACTTGCAGCCGTTGACAAAAACGGGCCAAAGGGGCGGCTGGAGGAACGGCACAGAGCGGCGACCAAGGCGTGGTCATTTCGCTGCCCGCCCACTTGCGTCAATGCAAAACGCGTTATAAGCATATCAACAGCATTGACCACGTAAAGTGCGTAATCAAGAGGTGGTAAATTTATATTTTGCAAGACGAATTATACACGCGTCAGCCAGCAATAGCAGCAATAACAACGCCCCCAGCCCCCCAAAATAAAGCTCCACTTCCCAAACACATGTACGAACTGGTAAAAACAGGAATTTATACAAATGAAAAAAAAAAAAAAAACAAACAAACAAAATCAGCGATGTGGGAACACCCCAAACAGAACTCAAAATAATATAAATTAAATTCTTCTTTTATGCTTATTAGGTTTATTTGTATACAGTTTGTATTTGTATAATCGTTCTAATAATATTAATACTAATTTTTGTTTATGATGTTAAAATATTATAATTGTAGAATTATAGCTAATTTCTAGAGTTAGTAAAATAATTATAATTACAATAATATTGGTAATATAATATTT